TTTTAGTTTGTTGCTGGATGGTGTTCTGATCATGCTGTGTTTCCTTTGCTGTTAACAAGTAAGGTCCTCCTTTGCTCTAAATGGAAGAAGATATTTGAAACTCTTGATTAAAAACAAGCAGGTATTTATTAGAATATGGGAAAATGTTTTTCAGTGGTTTGGTTGTATCCCTTGAAGGAATGATGATGAATTCAGAAATGTGCTATGTTTTTCACATAAAGAGTTTCCTTCAGAGCTAGGCAGCTTGCAACCCAAGATATCAGTACTGCTGTCTAAGTGGTGTTAATCCATTTGTGCCGAGTGTAAGGATCAGGCTCTGCTAGAAAATAATGCAAGTGAGATCTAAAAATGAACAAACGGGGACTATAAAGACCATGGGGAGAACAACTGCAGCAAGGAGATCATATTGCTGTTTGTATGTGTCCAAGGGATGTAACTAGAAAATATGGTTAACTTTCATCTCTGGCTGGGTTCTTGCAGTCATATTTCTTTTTCTTAGTCGAGGCAACAGACGCCTCTCCTGGGAAATTGTATAATGGGTAAAGAATGGGTTGGGAAGTAGATTTGGGAAAGTGCATTGCATGTTTGAGAGAGCTTGGAAGAATAAAATTTCAGATGGTTAAGTACTTATTCTGCCTACATTTTCCCAATTGTAATTCATTGACCATCTAAATCTTGATCTGACAGTCAAAATTTTGGTGCAACTTCAGTGGCATTTTTTGGGTGTGAAAAGAATATATGGATGACTGTTACTAAGCTATGGGAAGCAGATGACTAAAATGATTGATGATTTGGTACTTTGTGCATCTTGAATGGCATTGTCTTTTGTGTTTCACTTGTGCTATTAAGAATTGTACCATCTTTTTTGCATTTCAATTCCCGTGACATTCATTTAACTTCTACAGGCTTATCACCTGTCCGATTTCACCTTAAGCACTTTCCAAGTATTGAATTGACTTGCAGTTGAATTGAGTTGTGGGGAAAGGGATACTTTGTCATATTTCGGTCACTGAAATAATTTTTTAGGAGGACCTTCCTTAGCAACTGGTTGTCGCTTTCTATCTTGATTTTCAGGCAGGAAACCTACTGGGCAGAATGGTGTGTCTCATTGCAGTGTGTGAATTGATGACTGAGTTGTGTTGAGTTTCATGATCTATGAAAAGCTCTTACACTGGCAGCCATTGCTGTCCACTTGTTCATAGAGGGATAAAAAGTTCAATAGTTGCCTCCAAATTGTGCATATTGGCAGAACGATATGAGATGCAGAATTCACACGGCATATGGTATAAACTGCCTTGTTCTCTCATGTTAGAGTGCACTTAAGAGGCTGTATGATATTTTTAGAGCATGTATTTGATGCTCTAAACTGCTGTTAAGACTGTGGTGCCTTTGTAATGTGCTGATGTATGTTACCGGTAGCTTTTTTTTTTTTTTTTTCATGGAAGTGTGTAGGTTATTGGCATTTGTTTTTACTGCTGACACTTTTTTCAGCATTAACATGTTGCTATGCAATTTCACTAGAAAAATGTTATGGTAAGCTGACTGAAATGTCATCCTGTCTGTATTTCCCTACAGGTTTTATGGGCTTTAATAAGCACCTGAATAAGCTTTTGAAACGTGTCAGATAATGTAATTTCACAACATTATTATGAACATGTTTCAGTTGGCGTGTCATTCAACAAGCTGTTTGTATGGCTGTTTGCCTTTCTGGAGCATTTAAAAATTTGTTCTGAACTAAGACATAACCCTATTTGTAAGAGGAATAATCACTGAGTTGTTTTTACCAGCTAACTTTGGAGCAGAGATGTGTTGATTCCAGAGTATTTTCTTGATACTGGTCTATGTTTTAGAGATTTGCTGTATGAGAAAATTAATGGTGGAAATACTTAATATTTACTCAGTTGGGCAGACAAATGCCCTTCTCTTAAGATTTCTTATTAATAGTTCTTTAGAAAGCCTTTTTTTTTTGTTGTTGGCTAGGATTCATTTTTCCCCTCTTCCATTGGCGATTCCTAGGGAAACTTGTTTCCAACCTCAAGAATACTAGTTACATTGAAATGACATATGCTTAGTGTTTTTAAATCTGAAATATATCAGAGGCCAAAAGTTATTAATATTATATTTTCATTCCCTGAAGTCAATTATATGTTTTTTGTCTATTTTTTAATCTATAAAATAGAAACTGCTTAAAAGAGCTAGCTACACTAGCTGAAAAGAGGGAAAAATACTACTGTGATGTTCCTCAGACTGCTACCAACTAATTTCATTTGAACATGGTTGGAAGACCTTGCAAACAGATGAAAGTGAGAAAAGAGGTGGTTTGGCAAGTGATTTTTTTAAACTTCATTGGATGCAATTTAACTTAAAGTACCAGATGAATGCTTAAATCATTATCTGTAGCTCAGGCATGTCCAGAGTTATCTTTTGTAAGCATGGGATGATAATTTAGAATAGTTTTGCCAAAATAAAAATCTGCTTGCCAATGTGTCTCAAATTCTAGAAAGAGATTGATAAATAATTGCAGAATTATTTTCCTTTGTAATTTTCCCTATTTTAGGCAATTTAATTAATTTTTTTTAATTTGAATGCTACAGCTGACCTGCCTTATGTTGTGGGGACAGAAAAATACAGATTTTGCGCGTGATTGTCTTCACTCCATAGTGGCTAGGTGAAGGAAAGGGTGGGTCTTAGACTTTTCATCTTAAAAGATTTGTGCTATTCTGATGCTAAGAACATGTGGTGGCCACTCTGCACTGTAAGTGTAGATGCTGTTTGTGAAGATGGGACATGCTTCCACTCCATGTTTTTTTTTGTCTTCTATTAAACCAGCTTTTGATGGAAGCCTTCTTGGGGTTGTGTCTGCTAAAGCAGCTTGTTCTGTGTGAGTGAAAACTTTATCATGACTTGAAGGGAGCTGAGCAAGGTCAAATTTTTGTTTCCTCATTTGTTATTTGCATCACAGTATCTTTCCAAATACCTTAAATCGTGATTCTCTGTGTTATCCAATACAGCAGCTGTTTCAACCTTTCTGTCAGAAGGCCCTCATCAAATGAGTGCTTTTTTGGCTGTACTGCATGAGATGTTGAAAAAGAAATGTGCCTGTGACAAGCTAAAGTTTTTTTACTTAACGTTGAGATTGTTATGGGAAGAAGAAGGGAGGCCATAAACATTTGTTTTATTATTTGGAAGGTCTCACGCTTTGCTGTGTTGTTTAATAGAAGAAGGAAATTGTCTCCCTTCTGCTTATATTTGTTCCAAGCATTTACAAAGTACCCTTTTAATCTTTTGTTAAAAGTTAATTGTAGAGATGTTTGAATCTTAGGAGATTCTTGATAGGAAAAAAACCACAGTGTGTAGAGGCATATATATTTCATCTTTTACTGGAAATTAGTTATATAAAGCATGCTTAGTTTAATTAGATTAAAGTTATAAAGTACAAATACACATAGAAAGATTTTCCTGATGTATGTTGGATGAGTACAGAAGGCTGGGGCTGTGCAGCATGACAAAAATAAAGTTGCCAGTGCTGCCAAAGATACCAGTGAGAGTGTTAAAGCTGGAATAGAGCACCAAGGTCTGGCCATGGCACATTTCTTTCTTTAACCTTGCTGGCTCTTCATCCTGTCTGAGCACTCTTAGTCTTTCCTGTTAGCTTTGACTGAACTGTGCTCTTGCCTCTCTCTTTTGTTGGAAGCTCAGGCTTTCAGGCCCGATTTTCTATTCTTTTTCTGCCTCAAGGGCTTCATTATTCCCCTCATGGTGCTCTTTGCTGTCTTTGTTCCTGGACATTTTTGTTGTTTTTTCAATTTGTTTTTATTTCCCGCATCCTTCAGTTTCACACTTTTCTGGGGGACCTCCTCCCCAGCTAATTAAAGCAAACTATTTTCTACTCATCTTTTATGGTAATGAACTTGCAGTGCTTCCCAGCTCCTATGACTTTATTTTGCTTGTACATCAAGAAAAAATTCAGGCATTTCCCGGCCTTTCCCCACTTAATTTCAGTTTCCATCGTGGGAGCCCATTGCAAATGAGTGAGTTTGGCCACTTCAAGAACCACCATCAAAGATATTAACAAAACCAGGTTTAAATATAAATTTCTGAAAGCAAGACCTAGCAGAGTTTGATAAGGGTCACTCTGTTGCTTAGTACACAAAAGAAACACACAGAGGAAAATTTGATTAGAATTATTTGCCTGAAGACCAGGCATGCAAAGGGTATGAGAGATCCCTCCACTGAGTCACAAGGTTGAGAGGACCCCTTGGCTTTCTAAATTCCTGATGGAGTCCAGGTGTGGCTGAGTCCAGTTGTAGTCCCAGATCTACTCAGTGGCAATCAGGGCCTGTCCTTGGAGTGCAGGGACCCCATCTGTCCTGAGATTCCTTCTTGTCAGCAAATGCAGCTCAAGTTAAAGAGGGGCTAAAATATGATAAGGAAAGGTTCAGTCCTCTGGGCCTTGCCATACCTAGAAGCACCAGAGAAGTGGACAGGGTTACTGTCTTTGCCCAACAAGACAGAATGCTTTGCTTATGTATAGACCCAACATGCCTGAACAACTAAAAATGGAATGTTTTTCCACTGCCTACAAGGGGATAAATTCTGGGGCTGAGGGCTGGTGCCAAATACTTTCCTGCACTTGATGCATCAGCAGGGATTTGGCTGGTTCCCTTGCAAAAACAGAGCACGTGTTTGTGCACATTCAACATCCCCTCTGAGACAGTTTGCTCAAACTGCTCCTTAGGTTGTGTTTGGCACCTGAAGCTTTTCACAGGCAAATACAACACACTCTTGGTGACATTCTGTGAGGGACTCTGGGGGTCTGGAGGTTTTGATCCTAGGAAATGCAGTGGGTAAAATGATGAGCAGGGGTTTACCCTAATGGGGAGCTTACACCTCACAGGGCAACTAATACAAGGTGTGCAGTACCCATAAAAGTCTGGTCCAGTTGGGGTGCCTTAAGAATCAGCTATTAGATGTATACAACAGACATTTCACATGCTCTTCTTCATAATTTACTAGAGATCAGGGAGTTTATGGATAGGAAAACAAAAAATAATGAGCTCTTTCAGTTAACCAAAATATTATCTTGTATATGGTCTCTAGGCCATGGAAACTTCTTCATATAGGCTGCAGGTTTGTAACATTACCATTTCCTCTCCTCTTGAGGTATCTGAAAAGAGTTCAAAATAATAATTATGCATTTGTGACTATATTTTTGGACACAGAATCAGCATATCAACAAAATATTCAGATGTTTATGTCTGAGGTTGTGTTAGCGGATGTTAAGGGTAGATATTGGCAAAAGGTTTTTCATCCAGAGAGGGGTTGGGCACTGGAACAGGCTCCCCAGGGTAGTGTCACAGTGCTGATCCTGACAGCTCAAGAAGTGTTTGGACAATGCTCTCAGGCACTAGGTGTGACTCTTGGGGATGGTGCTGTGCAGGGTTTGATTATCCTTGTGGGTCCCTTCCAACTCAGCCTGTTCTGTGTACTCTCTAGTGATTTAGTGCAGTCTTACTTACTCCTCTGCTGAGAACATTGTCAGGATCTCATAATTTTGAGGCATGTCAGCTCCAGCTAAACTGTTCCAATATTTTCATTAAATTCTTGATTTCAAGTGTGTATTGTTCCTTTTAAGTGGCAATTAGCGGTTGATAACCAGAAGAATCCTCATGGTTTTTTGGAAAGTTTGGCTGGTTTGTTTGGGATTAGAGTTTGAATTTACTGGGAATTTATCTGAGAAAGTAATTTCAATATCAAAACTTGCCAATTTGTCAAAGCTTAAAATTTTGATGGAGGTGTACCAGTTTCAACAACTCTTATAGCTGGAAAAGTTCTTTTGGGTACAGTTCCTAGTAAAATCCTGACTCTGACACAACAGCCCAATTTGGAGTTTTGGTACAGATGCAAGTCTGGGTTCCTCAGTCTCTGAAGGTGGTGGAGATAAGAGTCTCCTGTTCACACAAATTAAGAGATGCAGAAATTGAAGGGCAGTCTGCATTTTATAAACAACTCCTATTCCCATGCAGTGGATGGCTTCTAATTCACATTATCCTGTAGATTGTGTTTTGGTTTTTGAGGGATTGAGTTCCTTATTATCATTACATCTATCTTTCAGTTCAAATCTGTGGTTTAAGTATTGGAAGAGCTTAGAGATTGATACAGAATTTTGATAATTTTTATTTTGAAGTGGAATATCTTGATAATAAAGCTAGAATTATAGCCTAAGGTTTAAATAAGATGTATTTGGGAAAATATGGCTGTAATGTATCACAGAGTTAACTAATTGGCAGAACAGTCTTGTAAACATCACACCAGGTTAATAAAAGGCTGTGCCAGTTTTAAGGTAGTAAAAGTACCACTAAATAAAACTTTTAGTAGAGTTTTTCAGCAGTCTGATGTGACACTTGGCAGAAAGCATCAGAGGACTGAGCCATTTTCTCAGGCTGAGAGATGAGCAAGGCTCTGGGAATGGGTATTTCTGGCATTTTGTGTCTCTCTTTGTTCTCATGGCATTATGAGATTTAGCACTTTGGTATCTAACAGGTATTTGCCTTTTGTTTCCCTTGCCTTTTGGCACTCTGTTTGTTATTAAACTGATATTTTTTTCCACTTATATCTTATCTCATATATCTATTCACTTGTTCCTTATTGCTGGAAAGGGATTGGTAGGAATCAAGGGGAAGTTACTCATTTCATAGTTCCCACCTCTTTAAACTGTTTCAAACCAAGACAACTTGTTTGTAGCTCTGGGTGAGGCTGAAGCTCAAAAGCTGATCTGTGATTAATAACCACAAGTAATTGAGGTAACACTGGAGTTTAGGCTTTTCCCCATGTGTGTTCATGGTTACAATATTGGGTTCCAGAAAGATAGTTGTTTGGTAGCAAATAAGATTGTTCATCTTGGTTTGGACAGTCGACAAGTGTTACAAGAAAGCTCTTAATCCATAATGCTGTAGAACAGATCCTTTTGTGTGCAAATGTTCTCGGTCCAAATTTTCACTTTGTTAAAAGTCACAAAACCCTTGAATTCTGTTATGACTGAAGAGCATCCTAAAGGCCAAAACAATGTGGTAAAAGGGTATTGAAAGGAAAAAAAAAAATACTGAGAGCATGAGGAGCAAAGTAATATGGGAACTTGGCAGGATTTTGGCAGGATAGCAGTTGTAGGCACATAGTTTGTGGTAATTGGGGTGGGGCTGTGGCTGGACCTCATCCCCAGTGGGCACAGCTGTGAGAAGCAGGTGAGCAGCACTGACAGCAATGAGCCAGGGAGTGCCCAGGGGCACTGACCAACCAAAAAGGGAACAGAGGGCACACAGGTGCAGTGCATCAACATCAGGGTATAAAGGGTTGGGTTGAAGGACAAGAGGAACTGATACTTGCAGCCTTCTGAAGGGACGGGGTGTTACTCTGTGTGGGCAGATGTCTGAAGGCTTCTGGTCAGGCATGATGTGACTCTCTATGGTAGGATGCTTAAAGGTTCCAAAAATTCTATGGTGATACTATGTCATGGCCATCTTAACTGTGATATGTGCTGTGACAAGCAGCCATGTCTAGTTTCTGAGGCAGTGGAAAATTCAGGGTTGGTGTGGGCAACCATGGTAGGAATTCTGAGAAGATTTGTGCCCTTTAGGCACTGGGAGAGGCTCTGAAGTCTCCCTGGAGCCTTCTCCAGGCTGAACAACCCCAGCTCTCAGCCCATCTCCATAATCCAGCCCCTGGACCATTGCTGTGACCCTCCTCTGGAGTCACTCCAGCAGGTCCATATTCTTATGCTGGGGACCCCAGACCTGGGTGCAGAATTACTTTTGGGGTCAGCTGCATGTTTATTCATCCCAGTTACTCCCACAAGCCAGCCCAGGTGGGAGTAGAGCTCCCTCCACCCCACCCATCATGTTCCCATTCCACCTTCAGCCCATCCCACGGTGCTTTTTTCTGCTGCTTCCTGTGAGCTGTTGGCTCTTGCCCTGCCCTGACTGCTGGCCCAGCCTGTGCACACCGCACAGAGATCTGTTGCCAGCTCTCTGGAGTTTGAAGGAAAACCCAAACAAATCTCTGAATCAAAGTAAAGGTGTCTTGAAAACTTCAACTAATCCTTTTTAAAGCTGTATAAATGCCAAATTAAGTCTATCTGTTCATTTTCCTCTTAGGTTTTATTACTTGTTTGTTTGAGAGAGCTAGTAAGTCTTTTAGGGCTTGTGCTGCCTTGGTTCCGTTTTAGAATGGAGCAAATCAGAGTTTTCCTGATAATTTTCTTTAAATACTTTGAGTTTTCATTCCCTTTTCATTTAAAGTACTTCCACAATTTAATATTAAATGCTGGGTAAAAAAACCCAGTATCACTTCCAGTTGGAAAAAACTATGTTGTGTGTAACTCAGAGGAGGAATTCTGCTTGCAAAGTGATGATTTTCCACTGAGGTGGATCAAACAGGTGCTCAGTTGGGTGCAGGTGCTGAAGCACTTTTCTTGTGGCATGAGTGTCTGATGGCAACAGCCTGAGATTTTAATAGCAAGAAAGAAGGGATTCCTTAGTAATTTTCCTCTTAGAACTTGTACAGTCTTTTCCAGCCTCATGTAGTCTGGCCTGTGTCTTCTCCAAAATCGGTTTAATTTTTTTATACTTTTTAAGTTTTTGTCCCATTTGCAGGGAACAGGAGGGTGTTGGCTATTTTTTCCAAGTGCAGTGTATTTTTACTGGGGGTGGGGCGACTGGGTTTAGTTTTGCCTTCCCAGCATCAGCTGCACTGATGCTGGAAGTTACTCTCTCTTATCCCAGTTACTCTCCAGGCTGGTATGTCTTACCCCAATGGCAGTGATGGGAGATAGAACTGTGCCTGGGCTGGGAGGGGAATAATCTGGATGCATCCATGAGTTTCCCTCCTGGGCACCTGCAGCAGGCAGAGCTGTGCCCCCCTCCCACTGAGGTTGTCTGAGCCAGGAATGCTTGCAAAATCTCCATTCCTCTTTTGCACCATTCTGCTTTTTCCCTGGCAGAAGCAGGGCTGGTCTCTCCAGGCCATGGGACATCATGACACTGGGTGTTGCCATGGGGACAGGTCGAGTCCTTGAGGGCACACAGGTGCTGGAGTGTCTCACCAAGCTTGGGGTCCCTATTTGGAGGTCAGCTGCAGGAGGCTGAAAGATGACTGGAAAAAGGAATGTGGCATCTCCCAGTTCAAACAAACACAAAACTTTATTTTGAGGGGTAAGGGGGGCGAGCACCAGGGACGACTGCTCTTCTGGTCCTGCTCTGGTTTTGGGGTCGACTGTAGGGCTTTTTCTCTCGCCGCTCTTGCTGCCAGACATGCCTCATACGAATTGGGCCAGGCTCGGAGCGGGGGAAGAGCCAGGGTGGTCTGTAAGGGGCTATTTGTCTCCTGGATGACTGAGAGTCCTGGGACGGCCTCGATGCCACCTGGCTGGCGGTGCTGGAGCCAATGGCCTCGCCCCTCTGGGCTGGCACCTCATCCATCCTGCGGCGTTTCGCCAGCAGGCTCTTGGGTGTCTGTGGCTCTGCGGCTTTCTGCGGGCGGGCTCGCTTCAAGCCCCGCTTTTGGCAGGGCAAGCTGCTGCTGCCGCTGGTGCTACCACTGTGGTCACTGATGCCACCGCTGATGCCACTACGGCCGCTGCTGCTGCCGCTGCTGCTGCCGCTGCTGCTGCCGCTGCTGCTGCCGCTGCTGATGCCGCTGGTGCTGCCGCTGTGGCCGCTGCTGTCACTGATACCGCTGCTGCCACTGATGCCGCTGATGCTGTCGCAGCCACCGCTGCTGCTGCTGCTGCCGTTGCTGCTGCTGATGCCGTTGCTGCCGCCTCTGCCGCCGCTGCTGCTGACCAGCACCGTGCCCTGGGACAGCCCTGGCGCCTCCTGAGTGGTGGTCCTGGGGCTGCTGGTCTCAGCACACAGCAGCGGCACGCGGTTGAGCTTTATGGGCTTTCCTGTCTGCCTGCCTGAGTCTTTCACTTGCTGTCTCCAGGGATGGCGATGATTCTGGTTCGACCTGGGCTGTCCAGAGAGGCAGCTGCTGCTCTTTGCATCTGCCTCTGCCCGGTGACACAGTGTGCCCATTGGAGAGAGAGAGAGAGAGAGAGAGGGCAGGTGCTGTGAGCACCTCTGCAGGGCTCAAGAAACGTCCCTGCAGGATTGTCCCCAAGGCCCCGTTGTGTCCCTGCTGGGTTGGCTAAAGGGCAGGGGAAGCACCAGTGCCCACAGCCCAGCCTGGCTCCACTGGCCCGTGAGAGGAGGGATCCTACTCTGGGGTCATTCTGCAGAGATCCTGCTTCCCCTTTCTGCTGCTCTTGGCCGCTCCCCCTCTGCCAGCCATGGGGAGCTGGCGAGGAGACTTGGTTCTCACCTCGCTCCTTCCCAGGAAGACACTTCTCAGCAGCGTTCTGCTGCACCATTGTGGGCATGGAGGAATGCCTGGAGGGTCTGGGCCGCAGCACTGTCAGCCTTTCTCCTCCTGACAAAGCTTCCAATCCTTCCTTGAGTGAAGAGAGATGGATGTGAACTGCCTCAGAGGCACCAAAGGCACCATAACTCACTCGGTAGCCTTGGGCAAGCTCGTCTCAGCCATCCTCACCCCTTAGGTCTGGGTGGTGTTGTGGCAGCAGTCCCCATGACCTCACAATCATGGATTGCTCTCTGGATCTGGGGAGGGTGTTCTTGTGGGTGCTGGCAGAAACTTTGTTGATGTTAGGCACAGCTATAGTGGGAAGAGCAGAAATGGAACAGGTTCATCAGCAGATTGATGGGCTTGAATAGGCTTAGGTTTTATTACAGGTCACCAGTGATGATTGTCCCCCCATAAGACCTGGGGGGACTTATCAAGTCTGAAGTACTTCCTTATTTTAAGCTTCTCATGTTAAGAGAATTCGATGTTGATCCTTTGTTACATAGTTTTCTCAAGTCTGAATCTTAGAAGAATTGTCCAGTTAGACAAAGCTGAAAAGTAGATTTTATTGTGGCAGGTTTAGAAAGGGATGTGGACTAAAAATCAGTAATTCCTAACAAAGCATTCTTCTTCTTCTTCTTCTTCTTCTTCTTCTTCTTCTTATTATTATTATTATTACTGTTGTTGTTGTTGTTGAATAGCTTAAATGTGCAAAAGAACATGAAACTAAAGTCAAAGAGGTTGTTACTTATACTCTAATTCAGAGTCCTTTAAAATATGTTAAAAAGAAGCTTTGGCTTCAGTGCTCTTTACAGCTGATTAATTCTGCAAATAAGAAACAATGTTCTGGTCAAGCGTTTGTTAATTTTTAAACAATTTAATCTGTGCCAAAAACTCCTGAGGATCACTGCATTGTCTGTGGAGTATTTTTGATTCCAGTGTTGTCTTATTGTCATGTTGATTTGTTGTTGTAGCCAGGTTTTTTTGCCTTTTTTTTTTTCTTTTCCAGTCTAAAGTAAAGATCTGTTGTATTTAAGTTTGTAATCCTGAATGATAATGAAGACTAAACTATCCCATTTCAGTTACTTTTTGAAAAAGCATATGTGGATGAAAGTAGATAAAATCTATTTAACAATATGGCTATATTCATGTGAATATCTGAAAAAAGGGTTCTTTTTCTTATCTATTAGCTCACATAATTAGATGTTGGAGCTCTGTTGGAAAAAGAGCTATGGCAATAATGGAGTGCAGCTAAAAAAGTACAGCTAATGTAAGGCAATGGTTATAGTGCAAAGATGCCAGAGAATATAATAAAAAATATCTGTGGTGATCTAAATTTAGTATTATCAGAGTTTGGGGAAAACTATGGCTGAGAAATCATTAGGGCAAGAAAGAAGTTTAGTGCTGCAGAGAAGAGAGCTGATGCCAAGCTAAAGACGTTGTTATTTACAGACTATTCAGATCTGTATAGTAGTTCAGAAAATTGCCCTCTAAAAATAGAAACCATCATCATATTAAACTTCACATGGAAGTGGGAAGACGGGAAACAAGAGCCCCAGCATGTGGACTGGCCTTTCACCTCATGATGTCTAAGTATGTATAAATATCTATTTACCAGTGGGCAGCTGGGCTGTCTGTGTGGTGGGGATGATGGTAGAGTTTGTGGAAGGTGGCTGGGACAAACATTAGGAGAGCTAAAGGGCAGGCACCCATAGCCAAAGAATATGGTGATACATGTCTGTGTTTACAGAATGAAACACTTGTGGTTTTGTGATGAAGAGTAGATTTTTTAATGTAAAATCATCTTGTTATTGCAGATTGTTGAATTTCAAGAAGCGCATGTGGCTGGAATGCAGCTCTCAATGTCAAAAGTTTGGAAAATTTCAGAGTATGGACTGGTTTTAGGTCCATGGTTTTCATGTGCCTTCACTTGCTGTAAG